CGGGCAGGGGCAGCAGGGACAGTCCGGTGCTAGCAGACGGAGGGGCCAGATGGCCTCGCCGAGTGGTCCTGCTGCTCTGCTGCTCGGCTGGGCTCCTCTAGCCGTATGTGAAAACAAGAGTGCGAACTCTATTTGCTAAAGAAAAAAACTGGCCTTTGAAGTATGTGGCTGTATTTTAAAGTGTGCTTTACCAGTCTGTGTTTATTGCTAGTTCTCCTAACAAGCCTAGCTACTGCATCCTCCCAAGGAGCATGGTGCTCTGCAGCTTAACCCTGCAGCCTCATCTACAGGCTCATTTCAAGGCTTTCCTTCTACAGGTTTCTCTATTTCACTGAAATAGTTGTTTAAATAAAGGAGCTATTTGCATTTTTTGTTTCGGCTCCACACACCCGACCCTCTCATTGCCAATGGAGCAAGCGGCGGGGGCCTGCGTTCTTTCTTTTTGCTGCTGTCTGAAGCTCGTCATGAGTTGCTGATGCTGCTTTCAATGAGACACCCCTTCGATGCTGCTGCTGGACAAGTGACCTCAGTCATTAAAAACCTCCTGCATCCCAAAAAGGGCATCTTTTGCAAATTCCCACATTAGCTTGAAGGGCAGTAAGGCGTACACATAGCTGTTTCAATTCTGTGAATCACTGTGCTTTTAAAATATGCCCCCCCCCCATGCCCCAGCATGATTTCTGTTGCATCTCTACCAGTTGCAACATCCCTGCTATGTGGCGACTGCAAATTCAACACAACCTGGGGCCTCGGAGGGTCTGGATTTGGTGCGTTGCAATTGCAAAGCACAAGGGGCTATTAAGAAGAGGGCCTTTGAAAGTGGGGGATGCATTTCAAGGTCTTCTTTCTAGGCAATTGCTGCAAGGCTTGCTGGTGTTAGAAAAAGCACAGGGCAAAAGATTGCCTGCAGAAGGCACATCTGTCAGAAAAGGCCTGGGAGGATGCAGAAAGCCAGCGGTGAGTAATGCTTTGGCAGGCATTCTGGAGACAAAAATCTATACAAGGCCATCAAGTGGGAGAAATAGTAGTGTTTAACACTGGAAGCATTTCATCTTCCAAATGCTATTTCCAGCCTTTGTCAGTGAATCCTCATGACACTTGTGTGAGGGAGGGAATGTCAGCAGCAGCAGCTGAAATGAAGCTTTAGACATACAATATGCCAAAGAAAATGAAAGAAAAGGCTCCGTCTGTCAACATTTCCTCCTCTTTTTCTCCCTCTTCTCCCTGTGGAGCACCAGCCGTTGATCATCACCAACATGCTGGGGAACCAGCCGCAGCTGCGGCGGAGCTGGGGCAGGAGGGGGTTTGGACCTCCCAGCCAGCATGGCCAGGCACAAGTTGAATCCAGCCTGGAGTGTGGCACAAGAGCACTGAGCCGGCACTGGTGACTCGGCTGCATTTGGTAGAGTTTGGGATTGAGTTAATTTAAATTGTCTTTACCAAAATATTCCTGTGTGCTTTATGCTGGGAACTCTGAAGCCTTGGCTTGGTGCTGCCTTCACTAGGAACAGCTTCTGTTAACTTATTCGCTTGGATAAAATGTCACCCACAGCAAGGGGTGGGAACAGAAAACCTCTAAAATTCTAGTGCTGCCAATCAAATCCTTCTGAAACAGCTTAATAAAGACCTGCCTTGCTGCCAGCGCAAGTCATGAGCGCACCACTGCACACAGCTCTGGTGCTTCACTGTGGGTCTAGTCATTATGTACCAAATGTAACCAACACCCAGCTTTTCTGCCCTTGCTTTGACACTCTATGCACATTTGAACACTCGGTGTTACTGCTGGGACTTGGTCACCTGCATGGGACAAGCTCCAGGAGCATCCCCATCCCTCTGCATCCCACCAGCTAATTCCCTGCCCCCTTTTGGCAGAAGCACCCTCCCACTGCCATCATGCACTGTCTTGAAAAGCAAAGCAAAGAACTGGACTAATTCAATGATCTCAGACAGCAGCCCAACTTTCACCTGGAATAAAATGACCTCTGAGATCAGCAGAGGGTATGCAAGCAGAAAGCTTGGCTTGGGGTCAAGAGGAAATTTGGCAGGGGTGGATCTGAGTCCTGCATATTTCTTTTTCACATTGCCTATTTATGCACTGAACTCCTCTTCCTGCAAAAACAAACAGGTTGGTTGCATTTTACTGTCATTCCTTTGGCTTTAGTCTCCACGGACTAGAGCTCAACATGCACATAAATCTTTTCAGGATTGGGGCATGTGGCTGGTCCCTTCCAAGGAACCAGACAACTGGGCAGGTGTTTCCCACTGAAAATCCTTTCTTTCAAAGTCCTTCCCAATGACTCTGAAAATCCTAAGCTAAACCAAATACAATTAAATGCACAGGCCTTGCGGTCAGTGTTCCTTTGGTTTGTGGCTGTACAGCAGAGTGTGCTGGCATTAAATGGAGCTGGGACCCAGGAAAACAAGACATGTGGGTGGGATGTGGTGTGAGGAGCAGAGAGGGGCTCCTGGGTTTGCTGGCCAGCCAACTCTTCGTGGGAGCTGATGCTGCTGGAGTTATTTTAAGGCTGAGATGGTGAAGAGAAGGGTGGGTACTCTCTTGGGCCAGAGCAGGGGAGGCAGAGACATGGTGTTATTGCTGTTAGTGTCCAGGAGAGCAGCAGTGGGTCCCCACTGTACAATACTAAATACAGTTTTATAATTTAACACTATCTAGGGGGTTACTGACACAGCTGCCAACCACGCGGGGCTGTGAGCTGGTTAGATGGGCGAGAGCCATGTTGTTTTCTGCAGGCATCCCCTGTTTGCCCTGCGGTGCCCCTGCTCGCATCCCTGGCTGGGGTTTTGTCACGGATGTCCCACAAACACTGTCCCAGCAGAGCGCAACCTCCGATGGGGACTCTTCTCCACCTCCCAGGTGCCCTTCTCTTCCCGTCCTCCCTGCTGCCTCAACCTGCCTCATCTCCCTTCTGCAACTTCTCTCCCAGACTGCGCTCCCCCCAAACTTGTCCCGCCAGTCCTCTCTGTCCCATGCCACTGTGCCTGCTCTTTTCCCTGCCTCCCCTTGCCTTTGGGCTGTGCTGCTTTGGATTGCTCTTGCACCATCTCTCCTAGATGGGCACAGCGAGAAAAGAGATATTGTCCCTCTCAGGCATGGCACTGAAGAAAACTCAGACCTCCTGAGACCTGAAAGACACCCCTACCCTGGGCTCCCAAGAGAGGACAGCTGAACTTGTGGCTGGCCCGGAAAGAAAGTTTTGCAGGATCATGGACTTTTCAGAGAGGCAGAGAAGATGCAGGGATCAGTGTTGCCTACCTGTCCCCAGGTGCCATGCTGAGCGGGACCTCGGAGGTGGCTGTCTCAGACACCAAACAAGCTTTCGGAGTGGACTTCTAAGGGTCTCTCCATGCTCCCAGAGGCGACACTCCACCTCTCACACTCCATTCTGCCTTCACCCCAATGGCACCCAGAGCTCTTGGTGATGGCACATGGATGGCCACATGTACCCCAGCCCAGCCATGTTTGTCCTCCCCTCTGTGCCCCCACATTTTGCTGTGTTTGTTGCTACCCTTGCCTTTTCCACAACTCTGCCCCTGCCCTTCCTTCCTCCCTTCCCTCCCTTCCTTGCACTTTTCCTTCCTACTCCATCACTTGGCTCAAATCAGCTCCCTGAGCCTTCCCTCACCACTACACGGCCAGTATAAACCACCTCTCTCGCTTTAGATACTGATAAAGAGATGCCCTGACTGGAGACACCGAACCTGGAGCTGTCTCTCCTGGACACCCAGGCAGGAGATGACACAGGCAAGCCACCTGCTTCTACTTGGCCGAGGAGGCTCAGAGTGCAAGGTCGAGCTTCTCAAGGGTATGCCAAAGGTGCCCAAGGTGCGATAAAGAACTGCGAGGCTCCTGCACACCCTGCGGTCACCCAAAGCACCTCTCTGCATTTCAGGTACTTGAACATCAAACCCTGCCTAAAAGAAGCCAGGGCTAAATATTTTTGGTGCACCCCAACACTTCAGGGCTGAAGTTTGGAAAGAGACGCTGTGTGTTTGCAGGAGCATTGGTTGTGCTGAAATCCCTTAGGCTGGGAGGTGCTTTGGGAAAGGTCACTGGGTACCCAGGCTGGCATCCTCGCCAGGATGCTCCGGTGCGCAGGGTCCCCATCAGCATGCCCACCCCCAGGGCATCCTTGCTGCCTACGCTCCAGGGGTCCAAGCCCAGCTGCCACCGCGCCGCTTAGCCCAGCAGCTCCGTGGCATCCAGTGAAGAGCCTCAGAAACGGGTTACTGAAACCACTAGACATATTTTAACATTAATTTTGAAAAACTTGAGGTAAAACTGTTACCGGTAACAAATGCTTTTAGACAAGGCTTAGTAGGTTTTGTTACTGCATCTCTCTTACTCAGACACCAGCAGAACTTGATATGGCTGTTTTACTTGTTCAAATAGCTGTCTGGAAAAAAGGAGAATATACAAATCCAAGCTGTGGTGGCTGCATTCAACACTGACCCCCCCAGCTTTGGGGTAGGAATTGGAGCCGTAAGGTACCCTCAAAATGATCATGTCGTATCTAGCACTTCCCAAAGGAATAGTGTTTTAAAAAAAAGATAAATAACCAGGAGAATTAAAAATATCCCTTAATTTCAATGAAAAAAAGTTTCAGTTCCAAACTATACTGTTGCTGACCAGTATTTTAAGGCTTTGATTTTTTTCTTTTTTTAAAACTGAAGTATTTTTGTCTTTTGGCAGTTGAAATGCACTTTGTGTGAAATGCGTTAGCTCCCTCTATAGTGCTGTGAATTGGAACGGAGGAGTAGAACAAGGCAGCAAGGGAATGAACCAAAAATAAACCAAAATAAAATAAAACAGGGTTGGGGAAAGAAGAACTTGCTGCAAAGTTTTCTGGGACGGGAGGAGGGATTTACGTATTTCTTCCTCGTCATCTTCTGAGGAGGAAAAAAAAGAAAGAGAGAGGACCTGCCCGTGGGACCGGAGGATGCTCCCGGCAGGCGCGAGGAGAGGAGGGGAGGACAGGGCTTTAGTAGAGTCCACATCCCCGCAGGTTGTTGGCGATGATGACATCTGTGACAGCATCGAAGACGAACTGGATGTTGTTGGTGTCGGTGGCGCAGGTGATGTGTGTGTAGATCTCCTTGTTGGGGGACTTGTTCTTGCTCTCGTACTGAGCCTGGATGTAAGCCACCGCCTCCGTGAAAGAGTTGGGGCCTGTAAGAGAGCCGAGACGAAAGGAAAAAGCGTGGGTTAAAGTGATCCTGTAACCCTAAATCCATAGGGTTCCTGCAAGCGCCCTGTTGTAGGGACGTGGGGAGCTGCTTTGGAGCTGCTGCAAGCCAGCCACCCCATCTCCACCTCAGGGATGGGCACTATTACCAGCCAGGATTACTGCAAGGGAGGAGATGCTCTCCGACTGTCAGCTCAGTTGTATTTTTATTCTGAGTTGCTGTTTATAGTCTATAGAGATGAAATGCTTGAGAGAACTGAGTGTTAAACAGGCTATAATGGGAAAACCAGAAGAAATTCCACAGAATGCTGACAAAAAAGAGAAAAAACCTGCCAGGAATGTGGTAAGTGCTTGACCCAGTGAAAAGGCTTAGTTTTTTCCCTTTTTTTTAGATTTTTTGATTAAAGCTTCAGCTTTTGATGGAAAAGAGGAGCTAAAATGTCCATGAATTCAGGGCAGGATTGGTAACTGTGCCCTCCTTTCCCTGAATCACTAAGAGAAAAGGACATGAAAAGATCCAGCCTCTGTTACAGAGCAAAGTGGTGTTTTCTCAAACAAAATACAAAAAAGCCGATATAAAATGTCCCTCTTTTTGAGAAATTAGGATCGCAGCACCCTCTGCTAGAGCTGTGGCCAAAATTGCGCCACGAGGAGTTTCATGTTTTGATGTATAGAGATGTCTGTGCCAAACCTTATTAACCATCAGGTTTTGTGTTTAAAAAGCTTAAGAGCAGTCACGCAAAAGAGCAGATCCTTTCTCATCTGGTCAGCCTTGGCATTGCTCACACACACAGCTCCACTCGGGCACCTGCTTAAGTCTGATAAACTCAGTTTCTCTGGCTGACCTGGAGTGCAGCCCTCCAGCACTGCTGGGTACTGCCAGTGTCCCCCAAGCCCTGGAGGGTGCTACATTGGCAGCACTGCTAACGCTCTTGGATCCCTCTCCCTCCGTGATGCTTTACTGGTGAGAAATGTTGTTATCTGCTAGGGAGAAGCTTACTTGGGCTTGAGACTTGCTGTGGTTGAAGGCAGCTGATCTGGGAAATCACTTGCACTTACATGTACATGCATTGCTAGTTGAAGACACAAGCTCATGAAGACCATGAGACTTGAGAATATGCTTGAAGTAAGACACGCAAAATGTTTGCTGGGAGCAGGTTCTTGCATGAAGACCTGCGTAAAGAATTTGGGAACAGTTCCACATGGTTTGCACCACCAGGAGGGTATTTTATGAAAGGGAAGATGGTTGTTCAAAGGCATGAGGATTTACATGCTGGATTCCTTCTGGGAGAGCAGGGAATCACTAATGCCAGCTTGGTTTAAAATATGCCTTGGATTCTACTGCTGTTTTGCTAAGTATTGTGGATTAGTTAGAAGCATGAGTGAATTAAGGAGATGGAAACAGTCAGAGCTCCAGCATACAGCAAGCAAATTTGCGGGTGCAGTCTTCTAATAATTCTCTGTCAGCAGAACTAAGGGACATCAGAAACTTCGTTCAAAAACCGGGTAGATGTGGCAATTTGGGACATGGTTTAGTGGGCATGGTGGTGTTGGGGTGATGGTTGGACTGGAGATCTTAGAGGCCGTTTCCAACCTTAATGATTCCTGGTTTTACTCACTGAAAATTAATCCAGCCACGAAGCCAGGAAACATGAAATTAATTATTACTCTACACTTAATTGGTTTAGTGGTGGACTTGGTAGTGTTAGGTTAAAGGTCTTTTCCAACCTAAACCTTTGATTTTATGATTCATTTTATCAAAAGCAGTTTGTGGAACCTACTTGTGATGTTGAAAGTCTGCTTGTTTGATATATAGGCTTTCATCAAATAATTCTTTTTAACTCCAGGGCAACTTTCTAATAATGCTGCTTTTTCACAGGGCCACAAGGGTTTCATCCTCTGAGCATTGGTCAGCAAAGCAGGGGCGAGCAAGCTTAAGTGCATGCTTGGGTCTAAAGTCTGGGCTTAACATTAGCACAAGCTAACTTCCAACTTTTAATGGCATTGCTGAATGCCTTGGGATGAGATATTCTTCACCTCTGATTCAGATCCCTGCTGGATGAGTGGAAGGACTTTCAGCCCTGAGACTTCCAGCCCTCTCTGATGGCACGAGAGAGACAAGAGGTCTGTGGAGGCTCTCTGGCATTGTGATGACTCCCAGCTTCCAGAACAGCACCTCGAAGGAATTTAGAGCATCTTTGGGGTACTCTGAGATTTAGGGAGGACTGGTTTGGATCACCTGGGGCTGAAGCACTCAGAAACAAGCTATAATTTTTTTCCTCTGCATAGTTAGCTGAGAGCTTAGCTACGCATGTATGAGGGTCTGCCTCTCCCACTGAACTCCTCTCTTGGGCTGGGATAGCTTGGGAAGGAAAAGTTATACCTAAGCCGACATTCCTTCTTGTTCTAGTCTCTCTGCCATCAGGGATATGTAAGCATATTATTTCAGAGTGGGGTTACTGGGACACTTCAGTGAAGATCCACAAAACCAGGTCCACAAAACGCAATCAGGAAGGAGTGAAAGGTGCAGGTTTGCCTCATGGAGAAAAGGGAAAAGGGAAGAGGGCAGGAGAAAAATCTTCCGGTACGTAGAAACGCTGCTATGAAGAGAATGGTGATGAGCTTCTTTACAACCCATCCAAAAGATGGCAAGCAGCAATCTAATTTGCAACCAGAAAAATTTGGGGTCAGCATTATTGTGAGCTTTCAACTGTAAAGACTGTGAAATTTCCATTATTAGATCTTTTTAGACAAACATGTCAGGCATATGTTGGTTCTGTCTGGACCAAGCGGACGAGTAGATGGCTGAAATGTGTTGGTAGTGACAAACATCTAAACCTTTCCCAGAGAGGAAGCCTGCAGCTGTTCTTCTGAATTCACATGCGAGTCGTTCAGCTCCATGGTCATAGACCATTCAGCCCAAAGCAGCAATGATGGATTGCTTTTGCCTATTCACAGTGAAAAATCAAGTGCTCAGAGATAGGAAGCTCTGGTTAATAATTTGTTGGCCTGCCCAGAAATGTGACACTCTTGGTACTGCCGGTTCACAACTACGTTTCCTGACAAAGAGATCTGCTTCGCTGTCTGTCGGCTTGATTCATCTGGATGTCTCCGGTGAGCTTAAATAATTCATGACGATAAAAGTTTATTTTTATGCTGTCTCGGAATGGTAATGAGGGTTTGTGGAAGCTGGCGAGATGCAGCGGGAAGTGGCGGGGTGCAGCTGCAGCCTTTGCACAGATGATGTATACTCATCATTAGCAGGTCAGATGCCAGGCAGCCGGCAGAAGCAAGGGCTTCTTGCATGCTGCCCTGTTGCAGAGCCTCTGCTCTGATCTCCAGGTATCACTAAGGTCTCCTTCTCCCCAGCCAAGCTCAGGGCATGGCTTGCTGTGGCTATTCCCTCTCTGCACTATGGGTTAAGAGGTGTGGGCCGCCAGTGCATGAGAATATCAAGTGCCTTGTTTTCTATCTACATTTGACTGGAAGCATTTCCATGTCCAGATGCTTGATGTCAGCAAGCCTGAGAACGAAACTGGGGACCTCCTAAACTAATGTGATAAAAATCTACAGCTTGAGCTGAAGCAGGCAAGCTGTAGGACCTGCTGTCTGCATGCTGGAGGGCTGATCCTGCAGCCCCTCGGTGCCTGGCAGTGGGCTAGTGGCCAGGAACTGCAGAGGGATCCTTGTTGCAGTCAGCCAGGACCCACAGGGGAACGGGATGGGTTATGAAGCAGCAAAGCTGGACTCCGGCTGAGGACAGCCCAACTAACCCCATGCGTTGGTCTCCCAGAGACCAGTTACCCATTTGTAATGGTTAAGCTCACTGCACCTTTCTGAGAGCCCTGCAAGAGGGTTCATGTTCCTAAGCAACGCTGGGAGCCAGGGCACGTGTTTAGGGAGTGTGCTGCCAGCCCCACACCTGCATCGAAACTGCCCATAGGGCAGAGATCAAACACCCTGCTTAGCGGTGGTGGCCCTTTGCCGGCAAAGTACTTGGGTTTAAGTCATCCTCATGCTTTAAGTAGACCACTAAACATGGTGGTGGTGATCCTATGGCATTTATTGAAATAAAACTTGCAGGGAAGCGAATGGGAGCTCTAGCTATGCATCTTTAGCCTCATTGCCTGTGATACACCACAGTACCAGCCTGGGTGGGAAACGCTCCGTGATCCCTTTGCTATGCATTCCTCCACAGCCAGTTTTCTCATTACCTGTATACTCAGGAAAGCAGATAGTCAGTGGAGATTTCTTAATTTTCTCTTCAAATATGTCCTTCTTGTTTAGAAAGAGGATGATAGATGTATCTGTGAACCATTTGTTGTTGCAGATGCTGTCAAAAAGCTTCAGTGATTCGTGCATGCGGTTCTGCAACAGAAAGGAGAGATCACATCAGGCCAAAGACAGCGGCTTGGGGATGTTCAAACTTTAGGGAAATC